TCTTTGGAATATCTCTTCCTTATATATGGGCTATCATGATTTTGTTGTTTAGCGTACCTATCACGTGTTATTGGGTATCGTCAAAACACATTTGTACGATTGTACCACGTTATCCCAATTCCAATGTAGGTTAGGTTGGTTCAGTTACAACTTTGTCCGAGGTGATACGCTAGCTGCGGATGTGTGAGTCGTAAAGATTAATTTGACCACGATTTCGGGTTAGATCCGGATCAATAAATATTATTTAATCCAAATATACACAAAATTAGGTATAAAAGAGACAAACACAATTAATAAAAAAAAGTAATTATTTACCATAAGAGCCATAAAATAGTCACAGCTTTAAAAGTCTATATCAAAACATAGTATAAACTAAAAGAATAATAATAAAAAAAAAAAGGTAAAGCCCAATAATTCAATACCCTTTATCGATCCCACATTCATCAACTTCAATCCACACAAAGGAAGTGCTTACTAACCTTATAGGTCTGCCTATAGAATTTACAAGAGAAGACATAAAACTAAAAGAAAACATAAAATGAACTATTAAAAGGAAGTCTATTTAATGATCTAATTAAGCTTTTTATTTATTAAAAATAATTACTTAGCCCGTTTAAAGGATCAACACATTGTGCACGACTGTAGAGGAGTTGACACGGTCATGCACGTATTTTTGTAAAGGCAAGTCATGATCAACACGGGCATGCCAATACGGGTGTAGTCCAAGTTCATTTTAAACCTTCTGTTTCATCTAAACTTTTCTTTGCTTCCTTTTCCATCTATATCACATTATTGAATCTTTAAAAAAGAATAGAAGGAACTAAAATAAAAAAAATACTCAATTTAATGATTATATTAATGGTGGAGGCTAGGATGATTTAATAAGATAAGTGACTCATGATTGAGTGACTATTTTTAAATCATTAGATGTATTTTAAATTCTATAATCAGTTTAGAATTTTTATTTATAACTTAATAATACAAGTTTATACATGTTAAATGCAGTTTAAATACATAATGTAAAATAACTTTTGAATCAATAGAATATTGAATGTTATGTTAGATCTTTAAAGTTTTCCACAAATCCTATTTATGAAGTTAATGATTTTTAAAATTAAAACTTTCACATTCATTCTTACAGTCTCAATTCATCATGAAAATAAATTTTTGTATTGATACATTATTCAATACCTTTTTAAATCTTTTGCATGTTCTCCATGTATAACGATCATTTTTGCATCGCACAAATTCTGCAACATCGCTTAAGCCGAGTTTTTTTTGCTTAAGCAAAAATTATTGAAAAAAAACTCACTAGAAGTAATTTTCTTAAGTGAATTTGAAGAAAATTTAGATTCATCCTTGTCTAAATTTAACTTAAGTAGATAACTCTGATTTAAACGAAAATCACAGCATAATGAATTAATTCTTTGTATTTTTTCTAGTTCAACAAAATATTCTTAGTCATTATTCCTATTCTGATCAAATTAAAATGATGATTTTAAGATAATTGGAATTAGTATATGATATTTTTAAATAGAAAACCCTTACATTTAAAAGTATAATAATCCAAAGAAAAAATAGTTATGTAGGTTTAAGATAAATGTAAGAAACAAGTTTATATACTATTAAGGAGAGAAAATAAGAAAGAATTGAAATAGAAGTAAGAAAAATTGAATAAAGCTTCTATGACAATATTTCAAAAGTGAAATTGAGATTTTATTGACTCAATTTATCGTTGAACTTTACATTGAAAACACAAAACAAAATCTTGAACATCAATAAAGATGGGAGTAAGTTTGAGAGAACATAATATGATTTCACGTGCATAAATAATTATGTTCTTTCTTAAACTTAAAAATAATTATGTTAAAAAATGATCTATTTTAAATATTTAAGAAATTGAAATCCTTTATCTGTAAAATTTAATAAGGATTAAATTTTAAATATTCAAATTTTTAAAACATGTTATAACAGATATTTTACTAATTTATTTATGAGTTACTTACTTTGTCAACTCACCTTAACCTTCACCTATATTAATAACTAAAATTGCACAGAACTTAAATTATTTTTTTATAATTTCATAATTTCTTTTGTTTATTTTTATAAATGTTTTCTTTTTCCTTTTTCTTTAAATTTTTCTAATAAGCATATTTTAAAAACACAAATAAAAGTGAATTAATTCAAGTAAAGAAAGTAGAAGAGAGAGGAAGGAAGACTTTTAAGGCTTAAGTTAACATAAGTAAGCAAATAAGTGGTGTTTGAGTGAGTGAATTTTTTTAAACTGTTAGATGTATTTTAAAAAAATAAATGATTCAAATTTTTGACATGTAATTTAATAATTTTAGTTTTCATATATTTATGATTTAATCTTTTATAAAAATTAGTAAAATTACTTTTAATCCTTCAAAACTTATTATTTTATATCTTTATATTATTGTATTGATAGCTTTTTTTTTTTGTTTTTTATGTTTTCCAAACAAATTTTGTATGTATCGTTGTCTAAGTGGTGATTTCAAGAAGGTTTGCATTCACATGATCTGATGCAATTTTAATTTATAATTAAAAATAACTTTTGAATTAATAGAGTGTTGAATATCATTTTAGATCTTTATGGTTTTCTACAAACTCTATGTATGAAGTTCATGATTTTCATAATTAAAATTTTCACATATACTCTCATAGTCTCAATTCATTATAAAAATAAGTTTTCATATTCACATATTGTTCAATATTATTTTAGATCTTTTTCATGCTCTCCTTAATTGCATCTACTTTATATAATTTTTACAAATTTCACTTAAGCCATATTTTTCTCACTTAAACAAAAATTACATTAATTCGCTTAAGTCACACAAGACATTCTAATATTCACTAAAGCGAATTAAGTTTGACTTAAGCAAAGATTGGGTATCATATTTTCTCTTAAGCTAAATTATTATGGTTTAAGTGAAATTAACATGCCTTAAGGTAAAAATAATTGCTTAAGAGAATATTGATAGAATTTATATGTTCATCATGGTATAAAATTAGCTTAAGTGAATATGGTAAGTTTAAGTAAAAATTATACAGAATAATTTTTTTGCATTTTTTTAGCGTTCAACCACATTTCTTTAGTCATTATTCCTATTTTGATTTAGCCAAGTAGTTTGTTTCTAAGAGAATTGAAATGAATATATGATGTTTACAAATTTAATTAATTCTATTTACGAAGGTCACAATTCAAAGTATGACTAATTCAAAAAGACTATGATTATTTAGGTTGTTAGATTTGGTAAACATGTTTGCATGCTATTTGGTAGGAAAAATAAAGAGTGATTGAAGTAGGAGAAGAAGAAATTGAACAAAGCTTTTATGACATTATTCAAGTAAAAATTACTCGGTTCCTTTTGATATCTTGTCTTAGATATTCTTTTCAAACTTTTATCACTTAAATTTCAATACTATTGAATCTATCCAACTAGTTGTTAAAAACATAATGAAAATGCTTAAACTAACTTCAAAAACAAAGATGAAAGGGAGTGAGTTTGAGAAAATATGATTGAATTTAATATGAATGAAAAATGAAACTTACATTAATATATGTTACAATTATACTTTTTTAAATATATTTGCTTAAAAAAATACTTTTAAAAGTCTTGTTTTAAATATCTAATATTTATAATATATAACTTTAAAGCTTGTTGTAGTATGTCATCTTATTAACTTTTTATAAGTAATATAATACACTAACTTATGCAACTTTATATATATATATATATATATATATATATATATATATTACTTAGTTACATAGAAAAGAGAATAAAATAAAGGTGTTTATTATTGTATTATAAAATTAAAAAGATATCTTATACTCTTCTTATATCGATAATTATGATTGTTTTAATATCTTTTAAGTGAAAGGATATTTATATCTTTTTAAGATAAAACATTAAGAGTATGTTTGTTTCCTATTTTTAAAAGAGTTTTTAATTTCTTTTCTTAAATATAATATAAATTTATACTATATTTAGAAAAAAATTGAAAACTCTTTTTAAAAGAGAAATCAAACATACCCTAACTCTTACTATCTATTTTACATATTTAATATAACATTAACAATTATAATTATTTCGCATACGAAAGGCATAGGACCTCTTAATCATTAAAGCATCATAGAAATAACTTAAAATAAAAAAACAATTTATTTTTAGTTAAAGAGATAAAATTAAATTATTATTATTATTATTATTATTTCCTTAATAAATAGGCTTTCAAGAATCAAAGTATAAATAATGAAATTTTGTTGATATGATTTAAATTTCTCCTCATTATAAAAAATTTGACACAATTTTAAAACTTGTAGATATATTATCTAAAATTTGATATTTAATTATATTTTAAAAGCATACAATTTATTAAAATAAAATAATATATAAAGTATTTATTAATTTTATTTTTAATAAAATTTTATAAAATTATTTGATAAGAACTTCTAAATCAATAATTAAATTTATTAATTTTATATTGTAAAAAAATTATTGAATAAAGTAAGCCGAGTATCAACGGATGCTAACTCACTCACTCTATGTATATAAAACGAAAATCAGTATTCCCTTTCTAGTTATACATTATGGAAAGAAGGCTTTACAATCACTTATGTTGGCGTAGAATTGTTAATTCTGGTTAAATCATGCACATCTTCTTTAAGTTTTCTGTGCAGGGAGGCTAACAATTTATACCTTTAGTGCAATGAACAATAATAAAAAAACAAACAATAATAAAACACTTGGTCTTGGTCTGACAATGGTAATAATTAAAGCAAAGTTGTGATTCAACCTTAAAACGGCTTATATATATATATATAACAGGGCTAATACATATATCGTGCTCATAAACAACACACCCTCCACCAAATGAAGTTGTGCAAGTTATTATGCAACCATTTGTTATTCGACAAATATAAGTTAAGCTATAGCTCTATGTAATATATTTTCTTTTCTAATAGTCTCTATTATTTAATTATGAGTTGCTGAGGTAGTTGGCAATTGTTGTGTTTTTGTTTCCTTTGTTGTTGATGACAGCGTGAGGACTGCATACTCCTTGAATTTTCCCCACAGCACTAAATAAAGACCTACTGCAATAGTGATGGCGCCAACGACACTGAGATAAATGATTAGAGACAGAAAACAAGATTCAGAAATTAAATATACTTCTCGTTTATTTAATATATTAATATCTTAAATCTAGAAGCCAAATTCAACATTTCACGTTATTGTATATAACAACAGCTTCTTCTTCTTTTTTTAACGCAAGCAACATCATACAATTAAAAACACTTACATTTTAGTTTCTATATTTAAAATAACTAAACTTTTAATCTTTACATAGATATTTAATTATAATTTAATCACTTTTATCATTAATATCATTATAATGATAAACACTAAAACGTAAATTACAAAAAGCAAAATTGAGCAGAAACTTAAACATAACTTTTTCTAATTATAAACTAATTCGTAAATGTGTTAATTATATGAATTAAATGTATAATTTAATTTAACGAAGATAATAATGCCCGTAAATAAACACAGGTCTTAAACCTTTGTTGGATGTCCTAAAAATGTTGATGTTTTATGCAATTTACTTATTGCTACTATTGGGAAAACAACTATTGCTAGAGCTTTGTTCGAAATATATACGGTCAAATAAAATTTGTGGTGGCAATGTATATACTATAAATATGGATGTGTTTTTCCTTATCAACAAAACATGGATGGATATTTTTGTATTATATACAGATAGAAGGAGCATAGGAACAATATTGGCGCAAACGAAATACCATAACGAGTTACCTTCCGAGGTAGAGCTGTTCTCGTAGAAAGAAAGTACCCAAAGCAGCAACGATGATCATGCATAGCGGATTAAACGATGTCACAAACACTGGGCCTCTGGTTTTCATCACCAGTCCTTGTACATAATATGCCATTCCTGAACTCACTATTCCCTGCAATTATAAAAATAATTATATATATATATATATATATATATATATATATATATATTATGGGAGCCATTTTTAACTAATAAAATGTGCCCTGAACATATTATTTTTTGTAGTAGCTATTATCATAGATTTTTTGTTTGCTAATTTGTCACATGGACTTTGAACTTATCTTTGTTATGTATCCAACTCATTCACATAAAATATATCGAATTTTGGTTCTAGTCTTTTTTTTAAAAATAATAATTAAGTTTTGATTTGTATCTCTTAAGAAAAAAGACGACAGTTTTGTCCGTATTGCAACCTCTCGTATGTATACAGCTTTTTCACCCCTCTAAGATTGAAGTTCTGATTAAGTCTCGTCTATATTTAAAAATTAAACAATTTTGTATTCGTACATCCTCAATTATGTTCTTTCCCTTATTTTTAATGATAGCTCTTTTTTTCCCTTCGCTTTAACCAATCTTATTCTTAACTATTTAAAATAAAATTAACTATTAGAATTTCACTGTAAAGAAGTCGCATATAATTTAACCAAAAAATGGATTTGATGAAGAGTTTACGGGTCTTTTCATGAACGTGAAAATGAAAGAGACTACGATGAGCCCACTTCATTTTAGCTCTGGGCCAGCAACTTGGAACTAGATTATACCAACAATTGTGAATCCATCATAGATTACAACTATGTACGACGGGTTAGATTATTCGTTTAATGGATTTGAATTTGAATATAGGTAAATACTTGTACAATTTGATGAGTATTAATACAAATACAAATATTAGTTTTCTACTCATTTACACGCATCAAGTAAACCATTTTGCTATAATTTTGTACATATATTGAGATTTGATGTTTTATTATATTTTATTTGAAGTATTTTTAAAAAATGAAAATCAAAATTATACTTAATAGGTATAGATAAATGAAACTGAAACGAATTGGGACAATTTGAAATATAACCCGAACTTACATTCAAAATATACTAAATTTAATTTTAAAAGCTTAAACCCGTTAAATTTTACCACAAACCTAAACTTACAGCATAAAGAGGACCATAGAGCCTATAGTCCAAACCGATAGCCCATGCCCGAGAGTGATGATCTGCAACCAGCGCAACCACAGCACTTTGCAAGGCACCGGCGAAGCATATCAACGATGAGAGTGATAGTTCCGCAGGGTACCTTTTCACTGTTATGGACTGCTCTTACACAATCACATTTTTATGAACATCAGAGCATATAATAACAACAACTCGCAAGCCTAATTAATTTGATGAATCATATATCCATATCATGTAATATTGCATAAATAATATAATTACCTGTAAAATGTAGAAGGAGGACCAAGCCATGCAACCAAGGCATAAAAATAGGGTCCCTAGGATCCATTGTTTATGACCATTATGGGATTGACTTTCATCTTGCTGGTGGGGAGTGTTTGGATCATTAAATAAGTTGACTTGGGGTCCTTTGTATATTGTCATCAACAAAGCCCCAGCAAGCGTTACACAGGTTCCAATCACTTTTGCCTGAGTGCGAAAGTCCTTTAACTCTACACGCTCTAACCTGACATAATACAAAGTAATTTGATAATTGTATTGGATAGGACATCATAGGACACCATTATGAAGAAATTCGAATACTCCTTCAGCAGAAGGTTACTACAGAGGTCCTCAAACTAATCCAGCCCAACATGCCCCTGCTCATTTCCAGAAAGTCCGTGAAAGAAAAATGCAACTGTTCATGCAGCCTGCACATGATTCGCCCAAAGAAAGAGAGGGGTAGGAAGGCTAAGAGATGGCGCACTAGAAGGCCTATCCGGAAATTTTCTAGCAAGAAGAAGTAGGGATTCGGCGCTACTATTATAAGAATATAGATAAATCACGCGGACTCCTCTTCTCAATCAGATTAAAAAATAATTAAACTAATTAGAATAAATAATTATATCATTATTTATTTAATTGGAAAACCAAAATTAAGTCTGATTCACAAAGTTTATTAATCTATAATATTACTTATAAAAAAATATAAAAAATACAAATGAAAGATTGACTTTTAAATATTTAATAGTATTTATAACTTAAACTAACACCTCACTTTATTATCGGAATACTTTTTATAAATACATTCTCTTTATGTTAGACAAAAAAATCAGCAATATTGGCAAGAACGTCACCTTATCTTGTAAGTATATCCGTAATAGAAACACGATGTTATTTTGCATTAGAGTTTGCCCTGTCACTAAGACTCTTTATATTAAGATTACAATGTTATGTATTTGTACATAATATAAGTACGAGTCGTAAACTATGTACGAAATGAATCGATATGGATTGGATTAGCATAAGTGTACCAACATTATTAAAAGGAATAAAATAGAGTTGAAAGGAAAAGTATTAGAAGTTTATTATAAATAAAGTAGAAGTAAAATTATCTTCAATAAATTGAATTTTACCTCAGAATTACCGCTAGCACAAAGGTTAGAGAAGGTACGGAGTTCATCATAGCAGATGCAAATGATGCCGAAGTGTATTGCATCCCCAAGCAAGTAAGGCTTTGATCAATTACTGGCCTGAAATATCAAATACATATGACAATCAATACGCACTGAAGTTGCCGTAAGTTTGACTAAAATATGTAAATTTTGCGAGTCTTCTTCTCAGTATCTTTTACAATGAAGTAACGACCAAATATCAATTACCATAAGATCAGCTATCTTTTATGGTAACAATTTTTGGGATAGGGGGTGGAAGCAACAAAAATTATTATTATTATTATTATTATTATTATTATATAAAGATGCCTATTCAAGAATTTAGGGTAAATTATGTTTAATGATCTTAATTTTAAGTTTATTAAATATTCCATGCACCCTAAAATTTTATTTCCGAATTCTCCAAAAGTTTGAGTTAAATGAAAAATATAGTAGTTAGTTACATCTAAAACAATGGTTAAAAGGTTAAAATCAAAACTAAAATAACCAAATTAGTGAAAAAAAAAAAAACAATTTAGGGGGTAATTTGAAAAGTGCTATAAAGTGGTAATTAATGTGAATTTTAGCTTTCTGTAGTAAAATTTAGTTTTGAGACTCCTATTATCCACTAGTTACATTAAGTTTAATTGATCCAATTTAGTTAAATCGGGTAGATTCATTAAGTGAGGAAACATTAAGAGTTAATTTTTGTCTATTCACTAAATTTAAATTAGACAACTTATTTAAAAAGAACTAACTTTTTATCTTTATTTTTTGAAGGTAAGCTCCTAGTTTTACTCGACGTAATATTTATTAATTGTCATAGTTAAATTCTTAGTTAAAGATTTGAAAAATATGTGTAATGAAACTTCAACAATTACTCAATGTAAGTATATCTAGAATAATAGCAATTTAATTAATAGATACTAGTAAGTGTTTCAAACAGAAAGGGAGTAACTTTATAGTATATTAAGTTACGGTAAATATGATTTCCCCTCGAAATCAGGATACTTATGAAAGTAGTATAGGCTCTAGATGATTACTAAACCATAAACAATGGATGTGTCATTGAAATAATTGAAGCTAAGGAGGAGGGACTATGCTATGCTTTTCCAATTTCTCGAGTATATGCTACATGTCACGCATGTGAGTGTGAGATAGATAGGTTTCAGATAATTACTCCAGAAATCCAAGGGCTAGTATTTGTATGAAGACAGAGATGGTCATCTTTGGCCGAACGTTCCTGCAAAAATTGTAAAAAGAAAGTAACTTAGACAAAGTTGTATGAAGATTACTAAACACAAAGTTACTACGTATATATTATGATGGATATCATATGGTTATGTGTGATAGAAATTGTTACTCCACACTATACTTGTCTGTAAAAAGCATATGGACTCCGGCAGTTTAATTTGACAAAAAAAAATAATCTCATTTCAGTTTTTTCATTTTCACTTATAATTATAAAACTCTCACTTTGTATCAGTTTCGTCGTTTTTTCTTAAAAAAATTTAAAACTAAAAAAAAGAAGAAGAAACAAATCAAATAACGTGTGTCATTTTGTAGTTAAAAGAAAAATATTTTTTCACACAAAATCATCCGGTAATTTTAAGAGTATAATGTAAAATGAGTAGCACCTTTCAAAGATGAGCGCAAAGGGGGCAAAGACAAACGCAGCAATTGCATTGCGATAAACATTTAACACAAAACGACTCATTCCATGATCGAGACAAGCCTTGGTGATGATGAATGTTCCAGCCAACCCAAATTGCAACCCCATAGTTAACAAATAAGGCTTTGCCTGAGTCAACATATTGCCAAAACTGGGTCCACATATTTTCATCATCATTTATTAACTTAGTTAACAAATGTTGGTGGTTAATGAGAGTAGAAGAGGCTATGATTTCATGTGTATGGAATGGGCTTCCTTATATAATACCAAGAGCGATGATTAAAACAACCCATTATGCACAACAATTAGATATCTCGGGACCACATTTTAAAGTTTCGCTTTCGGTCATTCTTATTTCCTGTCGAAATTCTCATCATTTTAAAGTTTCCACTAAGCAACTAAAAACAAAAGCTATATAGTTTTGTGAGCACTCTCTGGTATCCCCTCCCTGATTTCCTTCTCGTTGAATCGTAATGAATCGACCATTTGGCTACAGTGTGTGTCTATATTTATTATATTAAATATAAACAAATACAACAAATATTTTTATTTTTTAATAAAAACATACTATTATTAATTGTTTAATCTGAACCCTAAATATTAAAATCAACAAAATTGGTTTAAAAGACCCTCGTGATGATTTAACGTTAATAAAAAGATTAAGAACTTTATTTAGTAGAGGTATGAAAGAAATTAGAAAATAGAAATAACTAGAGACAAGGTTATACTAGGTTAATTAACAAAATAACAAAGTACATGTGTCACACTTCTAAAAAGAAGTTAATTTGACTAGCAAATGTACTAGTGTTGATGTAGCAAGTTATAAAATTGAAAGAATTGTATTAGAGTCCCAAGTATCGTTCTCAGAGAATAAAAGTACTCAATTATCACTTCACAAGGCCACACTTAGTTGAGTTTCACAAATTTCAAATGGAGTTTGGAATTCAAATTGACAAATATTGAACCCAGAAGAAAAACAGAACAATTAACATACAAATGTGTGATTAACAGATGTGGAAAACATAGCAAAGGAGTTGTTTTACCAAAACATCAATGTTGAATCAATAAAGTTCTGAACTTGCAAGTAATTGGAAAGAATGACAATCAGTTTCACGTTGTATTATTCAGAGGTTAATTCCTTAACTCAATGAACCTAACATTCAATCAAATCACTCTAATTCCTTAGATCTGGTTTAATTCAATGTTGCTTTAAGTGTAATAAACCAGAAAATTGCAAGATCAAGTTCTCTTATCCCTAAGAAAACTATAATCCTAGTAATTGATTCAAATATGAGAAACAAATCTAATTTCCATTGATAAGAGTTTCTCTGTAATTAGTTAATCAAATTTCCATTCAATCACTATGTAAAGTGCAAAATAATCACTTAATCCATTCCAAAACCCAAAAGTCAGATCCAGAATCGATTCAACACATTCGTTTTGGATCCATAATCCCTAACTATGAAGAATTTACGCAACTATTACAGCAGAGAAAGAAAAAGAAAGAGAAGAGGAGAGTGAACACAGAAGAGTCATCTTCAATCGATCTTCAATCTGATTCCTCTAGGTTGAAGCTCGATGTTTGTCCTCAATCTTTCTCTCAGACTCTCTCCACACTAGAAAACTAAGTGGAAGTGAAAAATGAATCAAAGATTCCAAAAATTTGAGCGCTTCTGCAATTTATAAGTTTTTCCGCCTTCTGTGCATTATCACTTTTCTTCACAAGAGTAGCCACGTAGAGGCTTATCTGGTGTTCTGGAAGACTGGAATGATCACTTTCATTCATAAAAGTGGCAACGCTGGAAGTCAAGTTGCGCGCGCGCAAGTTGCCTTGCTACATGCCTCTCTAGAACAATCACTCTTGTTGGCGAGAGTGATAACACATTACTCGCTAAGAGTGAGGCTTCTCTGAAACATCCACTTTCACCAGTGAAAGTGATAATGCGCTCTTTGTTGTGAATGAGGTTCCTCTGGAACGTTCACTTTCACCAATGAAAGTGTTAACGCACAACTTGCTAAGTTTGGAGCTTGTCTGGAACGCTCACTGTCACCAGTGAAAGTGATAACGCGCACTTAGTTCTTCTGAGAAAGCCTCTGGAATACTCACTCTTGTGGATAACAGTGATTACGCACAGACTCCACTTCTCATTTAAGCTATGGATCAATCACTTTCATTGGCAATAGTGATCACGCCCAGCTCAAACTCCATAAACCTTGTTCTTTGAGTCCAGATTTTCTACTTTTCTTCTATCTTTCCATTGATCTTCCATCTTCATGAACTTTGCTCAAAATTTTCTACAAAACATGCTTGAATTATTAATTTCTACACAGAAAATTCACAAATGTTGAAATAACTATGTATTTAAAGACAACATTCAATCATTCTATTTTTATAAATTTTTCTGCTTTTTCCAACATATTTTCTTTATTAAATGGATTAAACTATAGTAAAATACTAGTAAAAATATGGATTCATCACCACCCCAAACTTGAATTTTTGCTTGTTCCCAAGCAAATCAAACTAAACAAAGGTAAGTTCCTCCACTTTTCAAATTCAATTAACAAATTGCTTTTCTCAAATTTTCCAATTTTCAATTTTGCATTTTCTAATTTCCTAATTCAATCAAGTTATACATCCAATCACTCATCATGATAATCACACTGCATTAATCATACTATGAGTAAGAATTGCTATCTAAGTTCATGTATTTCAACAAAGTTCATGTGAGCAAAATTAAGAAACATGATCACAACTCACTAGAAGTATTTCCCTCATCACTCAATAGTGTTTAGGTTCACTGTTTTTCTCTCTACATCATCATTTTTACCACACTCTACCAGAGACTTGCATATATTCTCAATCTCCTCTATAAAAATGTAACAAATCACATATCAAGAGGACTTTTCAGGTAAAATTGAGGTTAAAGGCCAGGTAGGTGTTCAATATGGTTAATTCCAAACAGAAAAGATGCAATTCAAGTAGATGAAGTTCAAAACTTAGAATGAGATTGCATTCTCTTTTTCTTCCATTCAATTTTGCACAACATTTTATGATTTTTGCAACATTTCAAGTGCTTTTCATGTATAAGTTTATGCCTTTATGCATGAAATTCTTTTATGTTTTTCACACCTTTCTATTTCTTCTTTTCAATACTTTGCTTTTCATTTTTCTTTTCAAATAACTCAGAGCTTTGCTGTTACTTTTCTTTTTCAAATAACTCATAACTTTGTTGTTACCCACCCCAAACTTAAAACTTTGTTTGTCCTCAAGCAATGTCATACAATATCAGAACATGCCACCCCAAACTTAATTCTGGAAATCATCTTTCATTAAACTCAAAATTGCCTCTTTCTTATTTGGATAGGTCTCATGGTTTTTCAGTAAGGCTTATATTGAAGTTTTGCCGAATGAAAGGTTAAAGGCTCAAAAGGGTGAACTAGGATTTTTAGCACAAGGGAGGTTTATTTAGGCTCTAAGCATGAACAAAGAAGGCCTTCATCATATATGCGAATTGTACATTTTACAAATTCAATCAAGAAACAATGCAAGTTCTAGAGGAGCAACAAAATATGAGATCAATTAGCACACAACAAGAAATGCATGAGGTTTAAGTCTCACCAAGGCTTTTTAAGTGAACATGTTAATCAATGAAGCTCACAATTCACTTTTTCAGAATTATATTTGCAGAATGGCAAGACTGCCTCATTTTAAAAATTACAAGTGTGATCTCATTTTGAGAATGGGAAAAATAACTTAAAAAGAAAAATTTAATCAAAATTCACAGAATTGTCAAGTAGAATGCAGTTAATCCATAGAATGCAGCTCAATATCTATACTAATATTTTTGTGATTTTTCTAAAAATTTTGCAATGAATGTGAAGCTAAACTCATGAACAAGAGGTAAAGAATTAATCGCCTTTCATGGCAGCTTGTGCAAGTGTCACAATCCATTGTGTTTGAGTGCTGTGTGATAGTGACAGCTTTTGCAGATAACACCAAAAATTTATCAATTATCAATTAAAATGCAGTTAACTTCAAAACTAGAAGATATTTAAAACAGAAATATTCATAACTAAAATTAAACCCTAAAATGTAATTACAAATCCCAAAAGTTTGAAACTTAATTACAACTATCTACAAAATTTCTAAATGATAAAAATTAAAAGTCCTAAGCTATTCATCTGCTTCATTTTCATCTGAGGTGTCCTCTTCTTTTGATTCTTCATCTTCCTCTTCTTCTTCTGCCTCCTCCTCCACTTCAGCTGGCTATGGGAAATGAGTTTTATAGATTGGCAGGTCTTTGAAAACTGAGGAGCACAGACACTGAGCATTTTCTACCAAATCTGGTGTATGGTACATCTCATCCTTGGTCATTCCCATCCTCTGACCAACGTTCAGCAGGACACACTCTAGCAGCATGATTCCAGCTTTGACACTGTTATGGAGTTCATTCTACCTCTCAGCCAACTGATTCTGCCTTTCAACCATCAAATTTAGTGTGTTCTTCATCTTCATTGGCTTGTCTTTCTTAAATTGAGAAGGGATGGGAGCTACTGTAGTGCAAGAGGTGGTGGCATAAATCTCCTTCACCATTGCAATTGATATGGGTGGCATAGCTCTGATCCTCTCTTGGTAGTCACCAAATTCTACCCCTGCATCCTCACAAAGCACAATTATTAAAGAAGGAAAAGGTAGTGAATCTCTCTTTGTTTTCAGAATATTGAGAATGCATTCACTAATCACTTCTCCCACATCAATGTACATATCATTGACAATTGCAAAAAGAAGTTTTGCTCTTTTTACTGCCAGTGTTGAACTATGCTTGACTGGCATGAAAGAGTTCAGGATGAATGTGCTCTAAACTTTAGCAAAAGGTAACAAATTTTTGGTGGTGATGCACTTGGGCTTCTTGGCCTGGTTCAGCTGCCAAGTTGTTCCGAGCCTTCCAATCCTCTGCATAATTTCCACATAGTCCTTGTCAGGGCTATTCTTGAAGGTACTAAACTCCAGCTATCCAAGTTGCTTCTCAGTGTTGATATTTAGCACCTTGTTGATATTGGCAGCAGTGAACTCAATTCTCATCCCCTTGACCATTGTGTGAAATTTGGGGATTTGATCTCCCTTGAATCTCATGGCATTGGCATAGAACTCTTGTGTAATTTTCCTCCAGCCC